AAATAAAATTAAATAGCTAAAGTAAATCGTAAGTGGAAGTGCATCTGTCAACTCATTGAATGTTCAAAATATTATGAATCTTTATTTAGAAAAAAATACACATTGGTTGGCCTATTCATGAGCATACATCAGCAATTACACATATTTAGGGGAATAGGGCATCATTAATATACCATTTAAGGTGGTATGTGCTAGAAATGGGTAAACCACTAACAGTGAGTCTGCCCGTGGGGTGGGGGCACCGCCGCGCCAGGCAGTGTCCCACATTGTCCCTCAGAAACATACCCCTTGTCCCCCCTTGGGCTTATTAGCAGGTGGTCACCCTAGTTGTCAGGTCCAACAAAAATCTCCAGCCCAAGATCTGCTTAAAATCCGCCCAACGGAAGCTGAAACAGTACTTTATCTCAAAAGAAATAAACCGGTATTTTGCATGCTGATCACATTGAAATGTTCAACATTTTAAAACCATAGTTAAACACAATGACGTCACGTAGACGGACGCCCTCTCCTTCCCCAAGGATGCCAACTCTGGTCAACTGGCTGGAGTAAGTTTTTCAATTCAAGACAAGTCTGTACACTCATTTACAGGTATGTAAGAGTTTTATTACCTTGTAAATAGTCTGTAGGGTCTGCAAACTACCCCAAGGCTTTTGATGTAGCTATTTTGGGTTTATAATGGAATAATATAGATTTGCCGTGAGATTTCTTGCGTGAGCCTGAGAGTCTGAAAGCGTGAGTGTCACGCCAGATACGTGAGAGTTGGCAACCCTGCTTTTTGTGTATGTCTGTCACTGACTTTCGGTGGTGAGCGATTAAGTATTACTCAAGATTAGGAACCGCTTATATTAATAATGATTCATTTCTTTTTCCCCATACAGTACGCTTCCGCGGAACATTAAGAAAGCAGGTCAAAACCCCACAACCTCCTAACATTTACCCCCAACTGGGCGGGAAAACCGCGGCCCAGGCTACGCAAACTGCACCATATCTATCCTAACTTTGCAAGCATACAGGTAGCGACATTGGATCAATCAATGTTAATTCAACAAATGGCCTTTGCATTGTCATTTTTTTGTTTTGATTGAATTATACCTACCTTCTCTTCTAGAAATAATGCCTTTTGTACACCGCGGGCAACAAAAAAAAAGATAATTCAGACTTTACTACTACCCGATTTAGACCGGAAATAAGTTTACTGCGCGCGCGCAGAAAAACGTCTTTCCGCTCACTACGGTGGCCGGGTGGCTGTTATTAATGGTGCGTTCGTTTTTCTCTCGGAACTCGGAAATCTCAAAAGAAAATTCCAACTCAGTTCCAGTAATCCGCGATCCCAGGTGTATGACAAAATAGCGTGAATCTAACACTCGTTTTCATTGGCTAATATTTGTGATCTTGAGGGCAGGTAATAACTTCGCTAGGGTTATTTGTCCATTTAAAAAAATATCACGCTTTAATGTTTGTTTCACGAGTAACAGTGGACCAGAAAATTTTAATTTAGATTTTCATTCATAGTCTCTTTTGTTCGTAGTCATTTGTGATAGACAAGTTGTTATGGCAGACCATAATTTCACCCCAACCACTCTGAGTTAATTCAAATGTCTTTTCATATGTGTCTTAGGAGAACCGCTTTTTCTTCAATGGGCTTATAGCGAAATATTGAAATCGATTCGGGATATTAACGAAAGCTATCCCGTCTGGTACAAACTAACAGAAGGGCTATTATGGCACAAATGACAGATAATTTTCATGACAGTCTCGGGGTAGACGCTAACAAAAAGACATGCACCCCACGATCAAATGGCACACGGGTACAACACTTATTTACAACGTAAAATAGATGGCTGCACACATAAAAAAAAAATTGAACGGTGTATATGTGTGGCATGCCGATAGCCCATAGATCATTACAACCCAGTGTCTTTGCTGACCATCCCCAAAACATCACAAAAAACACTCACTGAGCATTTCATTAGGAACATTTAATTAGTAAAGCCTCCCATTGGTCTCAAAACAGGCTGTTTTTCATGGAAAGTATTCCATAAGATGTTGGAAACCTTCCTTTGAGTTTTTGATCCATGCTGACATTATTGCATTATAGTTTCTGCGTATTTGTCAGCTGTACATCCATGCTGAGAATGTCCTGTTCTACCACATCCCAAAGGTGTTCTGTTGGATTTAGATCTGGTGACCAGGAAGAACATTGAAGAACACTAAATTCAGTCATGTTCCTGAAACTATTTTGAGGTTACTTTTGCTCTGTGACTTGGTGCTTTCTGTTTTTGACAGGAGTGGAACCTGACATGTTCATCAGCTGTTGTAGCCCATCCACCTCCTCATGTTACGTTTGAGGTGTTTCTCTACTCACCATAATTGTACAGAGTGGTTACCTGAGTTACCATACTCATTCTGTCAACTTGAACCTGTTAGGCCGTTCTCCTCTACCCTCTCTCTTCAACAAGGCATTTCTGTCCACAGAAATGTCACCCCCTGGATGTTTTTGTTTCTTGCACCATTCTGAGTTAATTCTAGAGACGTGAAAATCTAACAATGCTCCCATACTGCACTGCGGCTTCGTTTTTGGGACAATATGTCCCAAAATTATCAGGTGTTGATAATAATCCTTATTTTTTGTTAAGTAGTGAAAAGATCAATCAATTCCATCATTTTCAAGACTGCATGATGGCCTGGTAAGCTCAATGCAAATGTAGCCCACAATAACCTTGCCTGTGGGGCCTCTTAAACCATAATAAGTGTTGGTTCTAGGGTTACTATGGTATTCCATTTGTTCTGATTTCTTTTGCCCCTCTTACACAATACCCAAACACATGTTTTTCTGCTTTTGACCTGATTTACTGCTGACTTTAACCTGTTATGGAGGAATACTGAAATCTCTGCCTGCTGAGGTGGTGTGCATACATGCTACAAATCGAGCAGGAGTTGCAGATTGGGTCGGGAAAGGGGGATCCCCAAAGTATCTTAAAACATTTCCATGCAAACAGCCTCCTGGTTGCTCAGCTTACTGAACATAAATAAAATACTTAATCACTTAACCTCCCTCCCCCACTTTCTCATGGAACACAACAAAACTGAACCAAAAGTGACAAATAAAACCAATTATTCAGCCTGGCACATTTAAACAGAACTACACACAAGACTGCTTGATATTTCAAGCAAAAAACTGATTAAAAAAAAAAAAAAGTTTCTTCGTATGATACAAATCTAGGCCATCCTTCCAAAGGACCTAAATAACTAGCTCCTATGGTCTTGGTGTTCTTAGGCTTAACTTCGTAATTTAATCCAGATAAGATAATCCAGTTCTGATGTGAACACACAGGCCGTAGTTAAGTCTGTACCATGAAGAACATGGCAACAATGAAAAGTTACTTGGAGAATTTCCCCTTTTTATCTTTGCCCTTCTTCAGCTTCTTGTGTGACTTCTGCTCTTGTTTATTTCCACCATCCAGTTTTCTCTTCTTGTTACTGTACAAATAGAGTAAATAATGAGGATTTTAACCAAAAAAACACCTTCTTGCCAAATCATTCTGTTTGAGGACCCCTTGAAAACACCGTTGCTTCTCCTCATACCTCTTTATGCTGATGATAGCACTGTCTCCTGCTTTTCTCAACACCTGGTCCCACTCCTCATCATCTCCTCGGATCATGTACCTGCAGTAACAGTGAGGAGAGCAACGATTGTCAAACCGAGTTGTTGGAGGACCTTCTAGAAGTACAGTTGTCATTAAAACTTGCTTTTCAGAAGCTGTAAAGGTTTAACCAGCAAAAATCTATTACATGTTAAATCATATATTTGCACCCTAATTAGCAGAGGATTATAGGGGAGGGTGGGGTTAGCTGGAACACAGGATTGTTGTAACTAGGGCTGCAACTAACGATTATTTTGATAATCGATTAATCTGTCGATTACTTTTTCGATTAATCGATTAATCGGATGGGGGGGGGCAAAAAACAATTTGATTTCCAGCAATTTTTAATAACCCAGTCTGTCTTTGTACAAAAGTTGTTTCCAGCAACTCACATAAAAAACAAATGTATGCTACATTAAGAGTATACAAAAAAAATTTATAATTTGTAGCAGCTGAATCAACGTAATGAAATACACAAAATCTTGTTTTATAAAGTGCAA